AATGTGTTTGTTGGTAATTTTAAACTAAACACATATAAGCTTATCAGTTACACCAATACTGTTTTAAATTCTAACCATGAAAATTTCTGCCAAAATTTTCTATACATTTGGGTGACAGCTCAATAATAACAATCCCAATATGGTTTTAGATAAAAGAAAATACAATGTACCATTACATCCCAAAAGCTTTGGAAAACGTACTTCAGATCTTTAAACAAAGAAGTTACGATCTTTGACATTGGTTTCAACGTATGAAACTGTGACAGGAGGAAATACTTTGCCACAGGACTGCACTGTATGTCCTGATATCCTAATAATATTATATGTTTTTCGGTGCTTAAAGTATACACTGTAAAAAAAATCCATCTTAATTTTAATAACACATGTTTTGAAGCAGTTTACAAAACAAATTTGCTCTTAAATTTAAGAACAAAAAGTTTCTTAAAATTCAAAACATGTTTTGAAAATTAAGAACGTGTTGAGAAGCGCCAGAAATGCTTTTCTTTTCCAGCCTAACGCAAATCTGGAAAATATTTAGTTCATTCCCCGAGGGACAGATGTTCAAACCCAACTTCCTACATATTGTACATGTTTACCTTACCTTACTTGGGTGGATTCGAACCTCGGACCTTTGGGTTCGGATCCTGACGCCTTAGACCGCGTGGCTGTCGGGACATACCTGTGAGGAGAGCGCTCGCACCCGACCTTATGCGGCGCTCCGTCTAGGGGCATTCCCAGAGTAGCTATGTGCTTGGTCGCACGGCGTATGTTTGTTAACTTGCCTTTTTAACATATGGCTGTGGAATAGCTACATTACGCCTACCTAAATTCGATGTTGTTCACCCAATACTATATTGAACGCCAAAACTCCATGTCCAGTGGTCAAAAGCTACATGACTTTTAAAAAGTTTTCTGAATGCTAGTATTAAGAGTAAGAATGAGTGTGACTTTTCAACACAATTTTGTCAAAACTAAGGAAACCTTTTAAATTTAATAAAGTTGTTATGAAATTTAATGACCCCTTAGTACAATTGCGAAATTTTATCAGAATTCTCATAACCTCGTTTGCAAAATTAAGAAAACTGCTTAAATGTCATAATCTGTTATTACGTTTAAGAACAACTGATAATGTTATTAAATTTAAGAGCTATTTTGCTCTGAAATTTCAGAATATTTTTTACAGTGTACTCAGTATAAACTGACTTTTTCATAATTATTTTATCTTTTGAAACAGTCACACAAACAAAAAACAAAAAAAAAGCAACCTTCTTAGAGAAAAAGAAGTACTGCTGCAACTTTTTTAGCTTTCCTTTTTTGCAGCTCTGCTAACTAATGATCACTCTAGCAAAACTCCTGGGTTTAAATAATGTTAAATAACCTACTGCTGCTTATTACCCATAAATTGATTTTACAGAATGTAAATTACTAAAGGGAATGGCTTGGCTTGGCTTGGCTATCAGGTACTCACCACTTATCCGTCTGGTCCTGATTCATCTCACAGCAAGCTCGCAGTCCATCGGCTGGTAACTTCAAATCCTCATGATCCTAAAAACAGTTTCAGATATAATTTAATAAGCAAGACAACGTATTAGGGAAAAAAAGGGCACTATAGGAAATTATTTTAACATAAATATGATGCCATTGGAGGCAAAGATTTGGGAAAGGGGAGGGTTTTGAAAGTATAACAGCAATGAGACAAGATACATACCTTTGGAATCCGATGTAGTGCATTAAGTTGGGTCCACTGAGTAATCCAGCAACTTTCGCTTCACTAATTTTCTTGCAATGCCTTCAAAGGGCATCCCACTCAAAATGTTGAATATATTCTTGACCATTGCAGAATCAAAACAACACTAACTGATAGTGAACAGTAATAATGTTACACTGCCCAAGCAAAAAGTTAGGTTAAACTTTTGATTCTGTGAACTGACACCGTTCCATCTTTTCAATCACTTTGCTAATAGTAGTGCATGTGCACTTGACACCGATACTCAACACGAACTATTCCAAATGCTGAGATTCGACCAAGAAACTAAAAGATGGAGAAATTTTGAAAATGTTTGTAAACAACCACGCACATGGCCGGCCGCTTTAGCGACAGCGTCACTCCGCCTGCTCTGCGCAGCGGAAACGTCTCCGGCTACTGCAGCTCCGCCGCCCGCACAGTGGCGCGTAAATTCAAACGAAGTCAGAACTACACACAGTGCTCAAACTTGTTCAAAGAGGTTGAACGGGGGAGAACATTAAATAATCTCCTTCATTTTGGCTCTGACGTTATATTTTGTGGGTTAATTTCGTTAAATTTTATAGTTTTCGTGTCATGTATTAGGGTAGCGTGAGTTCTTGTTTTCTCAGGATGGATAAGGGTAACGTAACTTCTTAAACTTGAGCTGAACGTAAACTTTTATTACTAACTGACAGGAAACTGACACAGACAGGAAACAGTGATCATTGACAGTGTTGCCACTCTGGACATGACAACCTTCTCCCTCCTAAATTATTAATACACAACATGAACATTTAATTTGTAACATAATCTTTGGTGATGAACAGATTTGGTTTTGGGGTCCTAGATGACCTCCGAACATTAACATTTTCTTGATTATTTACATTGTCATTTGCTTGAACATCAACATCTCTAGGGGC